ACATAGCAAATAAGATGATTGTAACGTGATTGTCCACTGTGGGGGTCTGTGTGTCCTTCTCTGAAGCATTTGATGCTGGCCACTGCTGGAGACAGGATATCACATTGGCTGGACTACTAATCTGATTTAGTATAACAGACCTTTTATTCCTATTAAGCACGTCCCAGTACAGAGTCAGCTTTCAACTAGTACTGATGGCCATGAAACACTTAATCCACAGCTCAGTTTACTTGTAAATACCTGGCACAATTCTTCTCTAAGGGAATACAGAATGGCCAAATTCTACTGTGTCATGTCATGTTTTTCAAATAAGGAATGAAATATTAGTTGTATACTTCGTCAATTTCCCCCATAAATTGCCAAAGTAGTGATGATGAATGATTTTGTTCCTGGATGTCCAAATTCAAATGACAGTTCTGTAAAGGAGACTTAATGGAAATAAGATTTGTGCATCTGAGTACAGGATTAGACCCCAAAAACAGAATAGCCTTTTAAGCTTCCTATGTTGCTAGCATTCTTCTTGAACTGCATTTTTCCTTTTTTTCCTTGATCTTTGGATGTGGAAAAGATTTGTTTTCAGATGTGTATGCCTGTAGCACTTGCTCGGGATTTATCTGCAAGATGATCACAGACTGAGCCTGTGGTTATGCTTTTGCAGGGTCCCTTGTTCCAGACAACTGCTGACCACAGCTCTCATTTCCTCTCTCTGCAAATGTGAAATTAATACTATCATAACAGAACTTCTTAATACATGCCAAAGAGAAAAGATTGTTTTTCTGCTTTATATTTGACCACCCTGCATTTCAAGCATATGTGACCTCACCTCTACAAAACTGGTAAGTTTTACCCCTGTCATCATATGTAGTGCAACTTCTACCAGGATCATCATTCAGCAATTCTTATTTTTTTGCCCATCACACAATCACCCTGAAATGAGTTCCAGCATGTACCAGTTGTACTAGACCCTCCATTCATTTGTGTTTGATCATCACAGATAAGAGCCAGGGGAAAAACCAATCATCTGAATATGACATAAATATCAGCTGTAGGGCAAACCCAGATTATGAACCTTTCAGAACAGGACACGATATGTACTTTTATTGTGCTGTGCCTAACACTAGAGCATTCTGGCCAGCAATCATAACTGTAGATTCAAATAGATGGTAATCAAAATAATCATTAAAAAGGTAATTGACATCTCTTGGCCAGTACAGCTGTGTATTAAAGAGAGGAGCTGATCCTCATTTATACAACACTTGGCAGAAAAGTTGACCGAGTCGACTGCATACACAAAGCAGAAGAGAACTCAAAGTAGTCAGGACTCCTGACTCCTCCTGTACCCCACTGCTTCACCAACACATGATCCTTCCTCTTATTGGACTGCTAAAATAGAGGCAAAAAAGCAAAACCCATAAGAAACATGCTGGTTTCTTTCCTGTGGTTATGTCCTTTGGATGTGTTTATCATTATGCACCACCGAAGAGTTCCTCCATCTGAACATTAGAAAGAGCCATCTCCAGTGCAGCGAATGTGCCCTGCTGCTGCTTGCTTACCTTGCTGACCCTGCATCCAGTTTGCCTGTGCTTGCTGCTATCCTTACTTGCCTGACTTGCTTGGGCACATGGGCTTCTTGATGTTCAGTGGAAGGGTATTTCCACATAGTCTTTGGCAATCCACCCTTTGAGCTGCAGAGGATTACAAAGCCCCACTGTCTGCATGTCCTGCTTGTAGCAGGGGAGGTGGGAAGGGCCATGCACCTCAGCAGTCACAAAGTGGCCGAGGATATAACTGCGCTGCCACCAATTTCAGTTTACATCAGGAGACAGCTGTGATGTGCAGTGCCTGTAAAGCAGTTGTGGTGCCTGTTCTCTTGCCCCTACTCCAAGAGTGCTAGAGGGAAAAGTAGGGGCAGGGCACTTCCTAAATTACCTGGATCACCTCAAGGCACCTGTACAGGGCTGCTGTCTGAGAGGAGTGGAGGGCTGGTCTGCAGGATGGCCTTGGAGCAGATCTTACAATCCTGAATAAATTTAAGCTGTTGTATGTAAGTTTCTTGGGGTTTTTTTTGTTTGTTTGATTGTTTTTCAGGGAAAAGTCCACATTTGTAAGGTTCTATGGATAAACTCTACTAAGCAAGATCTTTTATAATTCCTTAGTTTGTCACTGATTCAATCAGAAAGTAACAGATACCAGGAATGCATAATGTTTGAAATAGAGAGTCATCTTTCAAGTCTCATCTCTTTGACTCCCCTCCTGTACTTTCTCTGTCCCTCAAGGATACCTAGTTGGAGAGAGAGTAAGTGATGCTTCAACAGCTTGCTATTCCCACAAACACAAGACCTTTTATCCTGTTGGTGTCTAGAAGGCCTGACTGAGATTGGGGCTATCACTGACTCCCAAAAATGTACTATCTAAGCAAGTTCGGCTGACAAGAGAGGGAGTGACATGCCTAAAGTCACACAATGTGGCAGTACAGAATGCTCACAGAGATCACACATGTGGGGCCACTTCTGTTGGCCCCCAACTCTTTTCCCAGGCATCAAACAGGGCTGCTTGCTATCAGATCTATCTTCTGAAGTCAGAAGTTTTGAACTATTTTGGGGCAGAGTACAAAGTAAAGACTTATAACCCCTGCAAGGGACAGTGGGTTGCCTTTGCAGCATGAAGTCCTACAGAGGAAAGGCAGACTCGAACTTTTAGAATTAAAGGGAACAACTCTGTGTTAATTTCCTGTGGTTTTACATGAGATTTGTCCACAAAGGAACCATCTGTCACCATCTGCTTCATTTTCTTGATTTATTTTTTTTTTCTTGGACAGTTTCACAGTCTTGGTATGTGAATGTGCCTATCCACACCCCTCTCAAAAGGCCAACTCATTTCTTCAGTAGACATGTGCCTTGTGTGTATTTTTTTTGGTGTGTATTTGAGCTGCAGTGCACTTTTCATCAGGCACTGCCTTTCTTTGTTGAATGCTGGTCTCCAGGAGCTGCCTGGAATGATGGATAAAACACCAGTTTCACAACAGTTTCTGATAACTTGGGTCCATAACAAAATGCAGAGCTCTTCAGGAAGCAAGGTGGCTTCTGAGGGGGAATTTGACAGGATGAGGGAGTTCCCTTTCTCAGAGTGCTTCCAAGGCAGCAGTCATTGTTTGCACTGTGAATCTTACAGGAGGTTTTTTTCATTATTAAAACTACAGAGTTTGGGAAAAAAAAACCCAAAAATTTCAAATAATTAAAATAATTGGAAAAAAACCAAACTCAAAAAAACCCCAAAAGAATAATGTGAGAATGAGAAAAAAAAAAAAAAAAAAAAGTGATGTACAGGCCCAGACTTGAAGATCTGGCGTGCAAAACAAAACAATAACATGAAAATGTAGCACATCTACAGGCAATCTGTAGAGGGACTCTTGTCAGGAAGTGTAATGATAGGACAATGTGTAATATGACAAGGAGAAATGAGTACTTACATAATGAGGGAAAATACAGATATTAGGAAGAAATTCTTTACTCAGAGGGCAGTGAAGCACTGGAAAAGGTTGCTCAGGCAGGTTGTGGATGCCCCAATCCTGGCAGCGTTCAAGGCCAGCCTGGATAAGGCCTCGAGCAACCTGGTCTAGGGGCAGGGTGGGTTAGGGCTAGATGATCTTTAAGCTCCATTCCAAGCCCTTATCATTCTATGCTAATTAGTTGGGTTGGTTTTTTGGGTTTTTTTTGGTTGGAAGCCGTCCAAGAGGACAGCGCGGGCCCACCCGCTGGGAAGGGCACCCACTACGGGCGGCAGGGGCTGCGAGGGGAGCGCCAGAACGCCCTGAGGGAGCTGCAGCGCCCGTGCGGGGAAAGCGCCGATTCATGCGGAGCTCGGGGCGTCTCTGCTGCCCGGGGGGGAAGCGGCGCCGCCGGTGCCGCGGAGCCCCCTCGGAGCCGCCCTGCCCGACGCTGCGCGAACCCGGCGGAGCCCCGGGGCTGCCGCGACGGGGCGGGCCGGGCCGGGCGGGCCGGGCCCGCGGAGGGCGGGTAGCCCCGCCCCGGCGGCGGAGGGCCCCAGCTGCCTACAAGCCCCATGGTGCCGCGCGGGGCGGCGGCGTGTGACGCGGAGGGAGCGGGGGTGGCGGAGGCGGCGGCGGAGGGTCCGTGTCTCCCCTGTCGCGTCCCCTCGCTCGGCTCGGCGGGCGCCATGTTGGCTTGAGCCGAAGATGACAGGGGGCGGCTGCGGGCGAGGATCGCGCTGAAGGAGCGGCACCTCCGGCTCGCAGCGCGGCTCTCGGGGGGCGGCCGGAGCCGCCGGCGGACGAGGCGGGGGAGGGAGGGAGGGCGGGCTGAGGAGGCGGCGGCGGCGGCGATGCGAGCGGAGAGCTGAGGCTGCGGGAGGCGGCCGCCGTCGAACGCCCCCCGGCCCCCTCCGAGCGCCGCGGGGGAGGGCTCTCCCCTCCGAGCGCCCTCCCTCCCTTCCCTTCCCGGCCCGCGTCCCCGCCGGGCGCTCTTGGATGCCGCACACCGCCTAGGGGGGGTCGCAGCCCGGCGTCCTCCCCAGCGGCCCCGGGCCCACCCCGGCCCTCCCGCCTCCCTGCCCGCCGCCCAGGGAAGGAGCCAGGTCCTGCCTGCGCGCCCGGGTCGCCTGCGCCGACTGAGGAGGTGACTTGGACGCACTATTATCCCGTGTGAATCATCCCGTCGTCATTTGTCGAGGCTGGGAGAGAAGGCAGAGGGCGAGAAGGGGGGAAAAAGCCCGCACGCAGCTCATGTGGCGGTGTAGTCCTGCTGCCTGGTCTACCTGGCACCGCTGGTGCCGCTGCCGCTGACAGGGATCTGCTGCCATCTCTGGTCTCCCGCTGGCTCCTCCGGTCCAGCCCGGCACCGCTGCCCCTGGATATTCCTGCTCCTCAGCCGGCCGCCTTCCCCGCTGCTTATCGGGCACCTCTTTCGCGCAGGGGACGTGGAAGCTGCTGCCTCCGATACTGACACCGGTTTTGCATCTTGAAGATCTCCAGCGGGCTGCCCTTGGTGCTGCTGCTTTTTTTTTTTTTTTTTTTTTTTTAAAGTTGATTTTAAGCCATTTAGGGTAACATCAAAATGTCCAGCAGCGTTCCAGCTGATATGGTGAGTGTTGTACTGCTTATTTAATAGTTATATTATAGAATAACGTTTATTTCAGCCTGGTTTTGACAGAGAACGTGGAAATAAGAGGGGCGTGGGAAGAAAAAAAAAGGTCTTGGTTACATATTTAAGGAACATAAAGTTCCCAGTTAATTACCTTCCCCCTCCCGCTCCAGATGCTGGTTCTGCTTCGCTTTTTGGTGATGGAGTGGGAGATCTGCAGCGTCGCCTTCCGTGTAGCGAGGGAAGGGGGATGCCAGACTCCCTTACCTCTGGCAGTCAGTACCTGGGTGATCCCGCTTGGATCGTGCAGTACTGCTCTTCAGCTCCATGGAGCATTTTTTGGGGGGAGATAAAGACGAAGCAGAGTATTCGGGATTAATTGCTCGACCCATTTCTTTCTTTTTTTTTTTTTTTCCCTTTGTTTCTTTCTAAACCTCTTAAACTTCGCTTGTGTCTTGACAACGCTTTGTCTTCCGATGTTGATGGGAAGTTAATCTCTTCACTCGCTGCCGGCTCAAGAGCGAGAGAGAAATTTTCATGCGCTTTATTTTCATGGCGAGGTCCTTTGTGCACTAGCTGCAATCTGGACATTTTTCAAGGGCACTCCTAGTACTTCTTATGGCGGACTGTACTTCAGCTTGTATTGGATACTCGGCTCGGTACATTTAAATCAGGAAGGTGTAGCAGATCATGAGGAGGTAGAGTGAATCAGGTCTGCTAGGTAACCTTCCGTTCAGCACGACTTTCTCCATTTGTATGTATTTCCATAAATCAAGATATATTTTCATAAGTCACTTAATTGGAAGAAACACCCACGAACTTGTAGCTGCAGCTTGGTACGTTAATTCTTTATTCCTACAGCAGAATATTTTCACGTATCTCCACATGGCTGTTCACATTTAAAGGTACTTTTTTTTTACCTCCCCAAAAGCAGAGGACTTGTCTGTGCTTTTGGGGTTTTTTTAAATTTCAGGATGAAATTCAGTTTTGTGGGTGCAACCTGCCCCGGTAGTGAGAACAATAAAATCGAGTAGCCCTTGCTTAAGTCATTGATGTACAGTTAATTGGGATATATATGGCAACTGGGCTGTTGAAATAATGGTGTCTGTTTAGTTGCTTGCTGTCTGTATTTCCTTCACAGCTTTTGTACGGCAGTCACAATGAGTGAATTTTGACCAAAAAAAAAGCAGAAACAGTAAGGTACAGAGGATGATCAAACAGCAAGTTATAAGCCTACAGGTTTTTTTTTCTTCCCCCTGCCTTTCTCAAATACTATAAATAAATTTTGCCTCCCCTGGGTGAAAAGAGTGATGAAAGGATTTAAACTCAGAGGCAATAAGCTCCCCAGCTATCAGTTTTCACATATTTCTTTTTAGTGTCTCTCTCTCTCTGACTGTTAGAGCCTTTTGAACCCCCTTTTCTCCTGCACGTGGCTGTCTAGCGTTATATCACAGAAATCCTCGCCTGGGCCGTGGAGGATTAGGTGCAAATCTCTCAGTGCTGCTTTTTAAGTTGCCTGGAGGAGTCCCTTGACTGTGACATGAAACGCACTCCTCCTCCCTGTCACCCTGGGCTGAGCTGCCACCTCCGTGCTCCTCCTAGGGCCTGCCTGCCTGGGAGTCCCGCTGCTGCCACTCGGCTCGTAATGCTTGACATTTGCTACAGAGTACACAGATTTTAAGATAGGCAAAATACAATTTTTTCTATGAAAACTATTTCCTTGTGTTGTTAGTGTAATGAGAATACCACTGCTGGGGGTAGCTGGGCCTAATGCTGCTCTGTTTATTCAAATCAGGAAGAAGCTTGTTATACATAGTGATGTTTAGATATTGAGTCATTACAAAAACATTTGAATGAAGATGTTTCCAATGTCGGTAGAATTTAACTAAATAAATAGATATTTTCTGGCCTGTCATGGGATCATTTTTCTCTTAGTGTCTGCGTTATTAGATGCAGTTTCTCTCTGGAAGTTTGAAGTGTGCTGTAGAAATTCCAGTTATTAATTACAACTAATAAATATTTCTTTATGAAAAGATTGCTTGAAAACTCATTTTTGGTCTACTTTTGTTGACATCCTCCATATTTGAAAGGAGTTTGTTCAAGAGGGAAAGTGGGATTGCCATTCCTTAGCTATTTGAAGAGGAGCCCTTACCAGGCTGTCACCATGTTTATATATGTTTTTATTTAGTGTAGGATTTTGCAGTTTGCATTTCTCTTACCCACCCACTGTGTAATTTGCATTTGCAAAAAATTGATTTCCCATTTCTGTAGGAGCTGGCAGCAGTGTGATGGAGTGTCATTTTATGAAGACTCCATTATACTTAGTAAATCTGCTATGAATTACATAAGCATAATAATAATGTTTGAAACTGTTTATGTCAGATTCACGAACTAACCTACTAATAATAATAATAATATTGTAATTGCAGCTTCTTAAAAATGTGTTAATTTGTCTTCCTGTCCCACCTTTGAGAATGATCTGCTATACATAAATTAATAGTAAATTATCTGATTTCCAGTAAGCTTTGGATTTCTGAGTAGACATAATTTGACCCAGTCTCCTGTTCCCTGGCATTGAGTTGACTTGTTTCCAGAACTGCTGCAGTTTTTACCAGCTAGCCATTTCAACATCACTTCCTAAATAATTAACACAGTACTTTATCATTTGCATTCCACTAATAAATTGGATAGTGACACACCACATTCCCGGTGTTGTAAGTTTGTGGTGCATTATTCCTTAGCAATGTTTCCTTATTGCTTAGCATTATTCCTTAAGCAACGGCTTAACACTCCACTCCTGGAATGAAACCTGCTAATACTGACCTCTCTACCTGAGTAGTTTCATTAACTTTATTAGGACTAGATGTGTCTGGGGCAATTCTTGAAGACTAAACTGCATAGCCCAGTTTTGCTCAATTTTTCACATATGCACTGATGACCGTAGTGGCAGCAGGGCATCTCTGATTATGTTCAGTAATTTAATCAGGTAATTTATCAGTTTTACCATTTGGTAGCAGCTAGAGTTTGACTGTGAATAGCAGCAGGGCTATTTGCAAGTTGTGTTTCTTTTGTAATGATAAATAGACATGCAGTGGTTTATGGACTTGTGAAATTATTCACACTGGCTTTTTGAGTAGACGAAATGAAAATGGTTTGATATTTACTTAAACAATCTAGCTGACAATTTTAAAGCAAGCTATGAAAAACTTATGCTCAGTCAAGAAGTTCTTACTCAATTGAATAATCCCCTTTATTTTAGTGGAGTTATTAGAATCTGGGAAGCTTCCTCTCTGTATTCTGTGCACCTGTGGTACTTCTTCTGACGGATAGAATTCTTCAGGGATTTTAGGAGTCCACAGAAAGCTGCCTGCCTAAATGATTAAAAAGTTTTAACAGTGTCCACCGTTTCCTGTAGTCCATGTGTTTTATGTCGGTATGAAAAGGCTCTGCCAGCACTTTCTTTCTGGGCAGTTCTTTGCATGCCCTCTAGGAGATCCAATTCCTTTTCTGTGAGCAGTAACAGAGGGTGATGCTTTTGGCTCATGGCGGGGTTTTTATTGTTGGTTTGTTTTCTTGTTGGTTTGTTGGCTATTTCTGCATTTGGTAAACAGCAAAATGTTGGAATCTACCAAACAATTAAATGTTTTAATTTTAATGTGCATGGCTTTTCAATCCATATGCTGTACATAAGAGATGTTGGTGGTATGGGAGAGATTATTTTTAAGAAAACTGAATGTTTGGTGTAAGACATTTGCAGACATAGAAGAGCTTGGAGTGTATGGTTATATGTGGTCAACGTTAAAAGGGGGCAGTAGGTGGAAGAAGAATAACAAATAGAAACCTTGCTCAGTTCACTCCTTGTTAGAGTTAACATCTTTAGTGGAAATCTGTATGTGCATCTTCTTCCTTAGGAAATTTAATATAGAATGTTGATGAATAGTTGAACATATATAAGGACTTCGTTTCTAGTACATATTAATGGAGGCTAACAGTGGAAAAGGATGGACAGAAACTGATGCTACATCAGTAAGGGAATTTTGGGATCCAAGAATAAGGTTCAGATATGAGAGACTTAAAGGAGTAGTTGGTTGTATGGCAGCTGAGTTTAGTTGTCCATCATTCAGTTTGAAAAATTATTTCATTTCAGAATAGTAGGTGCAGTAGGATTATAATACACTTGGAACATAGAAAGTAATTTGTTGACTATAGCACTTTAATGTATCAGAACAAAATGTGAGAAGTCCTGCATCTCTGTTCTTCTGTTTTAGGTGCTTTTCCTTTTGCCTTCAGTGGATCCTTTTTGTGGTTTTGAAAATTATTGTATTCATAGTAGCCTTTGTGCATAACAGGCTTAAGTCCATCCCTTATGTTTTTGTAGCAATAGAAGTATGATTATTTCTCTGTATTTTTGTATCCTCCACATGTTGAAAGTTCTAATTCATTACATTCTGTAATAAAAATAGCTAATTGAGTTTTTCTGTATGGGTATTTTTTCCTTCCCTTTTTTGATTTTTTTTTCCACAATTGTTTGCTGATTATATCAGAAATTATAGCCTATCTTTTGCCATTCTCAATGTTTGTTTCGGGTTTGTTTTTCTCCTCTTGGAGAAGGAATTGGAGGTGGGATCTGTGTTAAAAAGGAGAGCTCGGAGAAGCTTCTTTCTGACTCCTTATGTATTGAGCCAATATATAAGCCAGTTGAGCCTTTGTAGCATATTGCAGTGCTTCTTGTAATGTAATGAAGAATCTTTCTCTGTTATTTGAAGCAGTGGCCAGGGATAAACTTACTAAAGCTCATCCTCAGTGTGTATATGTTTGGGTATACTCCAAAATTATTTGTGTTTATCATTTCTCCCACCCACCTTTTTTTTTCTTGTTTCACAGATTAAAAATGTATCTAACAACCAAAAAGAAACATCTTAGCAACCACTGACATTTTTAGGTATGACACTGTAGGAGAAACTTTGTAGCATGTTGATATTAACACATCTGACATATTC